TCTAGGTGCTGGTGAGGCTGCTGCTCTAGGTGCTAGTGCGTCTGCTGCCCCAGGTGCTGGTGAGTCTGCTCTCTCAGGTACCACGTCGGCTCAGGCCTTACAAACCTTCACCCTTGACTCGGGTGCTTCCCGCTCCTTCTTTCGAGACCGCACCACGCTTACGCCGCTTAGTCGGCCAGTTGCGGTCTCCCTGGCGGACCCCTCTGGGGGTCCTGTCCTTGCCCACTTCTCCACTGTCTTACCGTGTCCGGCGGCCCCCTCTGGCACCCTGTCAGGTCTCTACCTCCCCTCGTTCTCTACGAACTTGGTGAGTGGTGCTGATCTACAGGATGGGGGGGACCAGTTCACTCCTTCGAGTCAGCGGGTGACCCACTGTACGTGTGCTCGGACGGGCCGACACTTGGCCACGTTTACCCGTCAGCCGGGGTCGAGCCTGTACACACTGACTACTGAGTCTCCTCCGGTTGCTGAGTCTGGTCAGGTAGCTGCGTCGGGTCAGGTGTTTGCTGCAGCGTCCAGGTCTGGTCCTGAGTCTGCTCCCTGCTCGTGTCGTCTCCTGTCCCACCAGACTCTCCTCTGGCACCACCGCCTTGGTCACCCCTCCCTGCCTCGTCTCCGAGGCATGGCCTCCCGTTACCTTGTCTCTGGTCTCCCCCGGTCCCTCCCTCCCCTCCCTCCGGGGCCTGCCCCTACCTGCGTTCCCTGCGTCGAGGGGCGGCAGCGCGCCGCCCCTCACTCCTCCGAGTTTCCTCCGACAGAGGCTCCGCTGCAGACTCTTCACATGGACGTGTGGGGCCCTGCCCGCGTCCGTGGCCAGGGTCACGAGCGTTACTTCCTGTTGGTGGTTGACGACTACTCGCGTTACACCATGGTGTTCCCCTTGCGCAGCAAGGGTGACGTCACTGAGGTGTTGATCGACTGGATCCGCGCAGCTCGTCTCCAGCTCAGAGAGAGTTTCGGCTCGGACTTTCCTGTTCTAGGTCTGCACTCTGACAGAGGCGGGGAGTTTTCCTCTGCCCTTTTGGGAGCCTTCTGTCGTGCACAGGGCATCCGCCAGACCTTCACGCTTCCGGCCTCTCCACAGCAAAATGGGATTGCTGAGCGCCGCATTGGCATGGTCATGGACGTCGCTCGTACGTCCATGATCCATGCGGCTGCTCCCCATTTTCTGTGGCCGTTTGCGGTTCAGTACCCAGCGCATCAGATCAACCTTCAGCCCCGGGTCTCCTTGCCAGAGACCTCCCCCACCTTGCGGTGGACGGGGAAGGTTGGCGATGCGTCTGCGTTTCGTGTCTGGGGATCTCGGGCGTTTGTCCGCGACTTGTCTGCGGACAAGCTGTCCCCCCGTGCTGTTCCCTGCGTCTTCCTTGGCTTCCCCCCTGACGTGCCTGGTTGGCAGTTTTACCACCCCACCTCGCGCCGTGTCCTGTCCTCCCAGGATGTCACCTTTGACGAGTCGGTGCCTTACTACCGTCTCTTTCCCTACCGCACTGCGCCCCTCCCCCCGCCGCCGCTCTTCCTTGCGCCAGTTCCCCCCCCGGTAGACCCTCTCCCCCCTCAGGGTCCTGCCCCGTCAGGTGTGTCCCAGGTAGAGGCAGTCGAGCCTGTCGAGGTAGCTGGTGACTCTGGTGCTGCTAGGGGTGCTGAGCCTTGGGGTGCTGAGTCTGGGGGTGCTGAGTCTGGGGGTGCTGAGCCTGGGGGTGCTGAGCCTGGGGGTGCGGAGCCTGGGGGTGCGGAGCCTGGGGGTACGGAGCCTGGGGGTGCTGAGCCTGGGGGTGCGGAGCCTGGGGGTGCTGGGTCTGCTCGTGTGGCCTCTGGCGGTGCTGGGTTTGGGGACCCTTCGGGTGCTTCGTCGAGGCGGGAGCTACCCTCTCCATAGGAGCTGCGCGAGTGGTTTGCCCGGCGCTGGAGCCGTGCTGCTGGAGCTGGAGGTGCTACTGTTGCTGCTGACCCTGGGGTCGGCACAGGAGTTACTGGAGCTGCTGGGACTGGGGGTGCTGCTGGTGCTGCTGGAGGTACTGGAGGTACTGGAGCTACTGGGCCTGGAGGTGCTCCTGGTGCTGGAGCTGCTGGCGGTGTTGGAGCTGGCGGTCCTGCTGGGGTTGGTGCTGCTGGAGCTGCTGGAGCTGGAGCTGCTGGGGATGTTGGCGCTGGAGGTGCTGCTGGCGCTGGTGCTTCTGAGGGTGCTGGAGTTGGCGCTGTTGGAGCTGGAGGTGCTGCTGGCACTGGTGCTGCCGCTGGGGGTGCTGGTGCTGTCCCTGCTGGTTCTGGAGGCGCTGCGCGGCCGCGGCCGTACTTCGTTCCGCTCCTTGAGCAGGTTCTTGGTCTCCCGCCTTCTACTGGTCCTGCTCCTCCCTTAGAGTGTCCACAGCCTGTCCAGTCGTAGTCACAGTTACAGCCTGCTCCTTCTCCCTACACTGGTCCCACTGGAGGTCTTGCTGAGCGTCGTGAGCCTGCGTCTCGTCCTGCGTCGCCTGTTCGTGCTGTTCGCACTAGTGGTCGTGCTCCGCGTCCGCGTCCTCCTGCGGTCCCAGGCACACACCAGATGGCACTGCGTCCTTCCACTGCTCCTCTGCGTGTCCCGTTGCCGTCTCCTCCAGAGTCCTCTCTTCCTGTTCTTGCTGACCCGGAGTCTGACTCTCTTCGTGCTGCCAGTCCTACTGTCACGCGTCTTCTCGCTACTGTTGTCACTGACCCTTCCTTTGAGTCCACTGCTGCGTCTGCCTTAGTTGCTGAGCTTGTCGACTTTGCTGCGCGCTGTCGTATAGACTACGCCGCTAGTCTTGTTGCTGAGTCTGAGTCTGTCTGTCCTCCGTCCGTCGGGGGTGAGTGTGCTCTTAGCACGGACGTCCTTGAGGACAGGCAGGAGGAGTTCCAGTGTTTTGCTGCTGCTTTGCCTCATCTCGTGTCCACGCTGATTGCCCCTGAGGGAGACCCGGATGCACCAGACATCCCGACTCCTCGATCGTACGCTGAGGCGATCGAGGGTCCCTACTCCTCACAGTGGCAGTCAGCCATGGACGCAGAGATGGCTTCCTGGAAGTCCACAGGCACCTACGTCGACGAGGTTCCCCCACCTGGGGCGAACATCGTCAGTGGCATGTGGATTTTCAGGGTGAAGCGGCCGCCGGGTTCTCCGCCTGTCTTCAAGGCGCGTTACGTGGCTCGAGGCTTCAGTCAGCGGCAAGGAGTTGACTACTTTCAGACCTTCTGTCCCACCCCGAAGATGACCACTCTTCGGGTGCTGCTGCACATAGCCGCTCAGCGCGACTACGAGCTTCACTCTCTTGACTTCAGCACAGCTTTCCTGCAGGGCAGCCTGCACGAGGAGATCTGGCTGCGCCGCCCACCTGGCTTCACTGGGTCGTTTCCTCCTGGTACCCAGTGGAGCCTCCGGCGGCCAGTCTACGGTCTCCGCCAGGCGCCCCGTGAGTGGCACGACACACTGATGACTACACTTTCGGCTCTTAGGTTTGCTCCTTCTACTGCCGACCCGTCGCTGTTTCTGCGCACCGACACCTCTTTGCCGCCGTTCTACATCCTCGTGTACGTCGACGACTTGGTCTTTGCCACTGTTGACACTGCTGGACTCGCCCACGTGAAGTCCGAGCTGCAGAAGAGACACACGTGCACAGACCTGGGTGAACTGCGTAGCTACCTTGGCTTGCAGATCACCCGGGACAGAGCACAGCGCACCATTACCCTGACTCAGTCACACATGGTGCAGCAGGTCCTTCAGCGCTTCGACTTCACGTACTCCTCGCCTCAGGCCACTCCTCTGTCTACTCGCCACTCGCTCTCAGCTCTGCCTTCGGATGAGTCCGTAGAGCCGAGTGGCCCGTACCCAAAGCTTATTGGCTGCCTCATGTACCTGATGACCTGCACACGACCTGACCTTGCATACCTCTTAGCATATTGGCACGCTATGTTGCTCCTGGGAGACACCAACCAGAGCACATGGCTGCAGCGAAGAGGGTGTTGCGCTACTTGTGCAGTACGTCGGGCATGGGGCTAGTGCTTGGAGGGCGACGTCCAGTGGTCCTCACAGGTCACGCAGACGCTTCTTGGGCTGACGACCAGGCTACGCAGCGGTCGTCACAGGGTTACACCTTCAGCCTTGGTTCCGGCTCTGTTTCGTGGCGGTCTACCCGCTCGTCTTCTGTTCTCGGCTCCAGCTGTGAGGCTGAGATCTACGCGGGGGCCATGGCTGCACAGGAGCTACGCTGGCTCACCTACCTGCTGACTGACCTAGGAGAGCCGCCTCGTTCTCCTCCAGTTCTGTACGTAGACAACAAGGCCATGCTGGCCTTGTGTCGGGAGCACAGACTGGAGCACAGAACGAAGCACATTGCTCTTCGCTACTTCCTTGCTCGTGAGCTGCAGCAGCGTGGTTAGCTGCGCCTTGCTTACGTGGCCTCTAATGCCAACACTGCTGATATCTTTACCAAGGCACTTCCGCCTTGTGATCATCAGCGCTGCTGTACGATGCTAGGTCTTGTGCCTACTTGGCCTCACTTGCTCACTTCTTGACCTTGCTTGTACTGTGATCTTTCTATACCTGCACTTGCTTGTTTGCCTTTATATATGATCTTGCATCTGAACTGGCCTTGTGGCCTTGAACTTGTGCTCGGAATGTGTGGTGACGTTGTGATCCACCCTGAGCTTGCTTTGCTTTGCTTGACTGGTCTTGTGACCTCTTGTTCTCCCCCACTTTGCCTATGGGGGTGTGTCAAACTCATATGCTATAGTCTGTGTAGGCTGTAGTGGGGTAGACAATATGGGGTACAACACTTTTAGGTTTTCCTACTTGTACCCACCTGCTTGCTAGTTCATTCATTCCTCATTTCTTCACAGATTCCGCGTGTCATCGGCACATGAAGCACCTGCTGAGGATGTGGGGGAAGCACTTGTCAGAGAACGTGGGGACAACGATGAGGTGTCTGCACCTCACGACGACGTTTCTCTCAAAGCAACACTTCGGTCGCATTGAGGTGGTTTTCATGCAAGAGGCCGACGCGTTGTTCATGCGGAGCAAGGAGATCGAGCATTACACGGTGAACGATAAGAAACTCACGCTTGGGTGGCAGCATCCGGAAAACAAGGAGTACCTGAGGGAGCGTGCCGCTCACCCGGAGGCGATTAAGGTCCTGCTCAAGGGGGTGCCGGTGGTGATCTCACCGGCGATGATTCGCAAGAACCCGGTGACTGCGATGTTGCTGAAGCGTGGTCGCACATCGTTCCTGGATGGGTCTGCTTTCCACCGCGTGCTGGATCCGGTTTCGGGGTCGGACACTGACAAGATTAAGGGCCTGGTTTTCAGGCACCCGGGGGATAAGTATAAGTGGTGGCATAAGGTCTCCGACAGTGTCCACGGAATCGAGCTGCTGGTGTCTTTTCCTGCTCTCACTTGTGATTTCTGCAACGGAATGCATATGCCGTGCTTTCATGATGACTACGTGAAGGAGAGACAGAACAACATCGGAAACTGGAATCTGGCGCTGCAGCGCACCCATGAGATAAACGGTAACGGACCCCGCTCTCACCTTGTTTTTCAGGTGGTCGCAGCAGCAAACCTCCCGGCTCACCTCTGTATCGTTCCCCCCCCGCGCAGCTGCTTCCATGAAGCTGTCATCGGCAATGAAGACTCTGCTAGCAGACCCGGCGATGGCTTTCATCTCCACGGGAGGGGTGCGAGAGGAGTGGCTGTGTGCACAGGAGGACTGCGGGAAGGCCCATGATACCAGCTTCGAGAAGGCGGTGGAGCATGTGCAGTCAGTCCGCCACGGCACCGGCCTACTCAAGGCGGGAGCGGCGACGCGTCTGAGCAAGGGGAAGCAGAACCTGGCGCATGTCAAGAAGGAGTTCGGATTGTGACCAGTGGCCCAGTGGTGCGGCGGAGACCGGGGGTGTCGGCTCTAGTTGCGGTTGTTTCAGGACCTGCAAGAGAAGGAGAAGCAATTGTAACATCGGCAGGAGTTAGTATGTGCTGTATCTTTCTTAAAGCAAGGGTGCACATTCCTAGGGGTGGTTTTTGGGTGTATTGTCAGTGCACATCCTTTGGCGCTTGCTGATTTGAGGGCGAATTGTGCAGGGTACGTAAAGCTGGTGCGAGGAATTGAAACAAGGCAGGCGATACAAACCAATTTCGCACGAAAGGTTGGGTTGGGAGAACACAGCGCGGGAAGGCGGAAATCAAACATTGGGATTCGAGAAGCAAGCGGAGATAAAGCGAGTGATAAACCAGGGATAGCTTCAAGCTTAGAAACCACACAACTTCGAATCAAGGCAGCTACGCAAGCATTCCCTAAGTGCCACAACGATGTAGACCACGAGTGCAGTGTTCTTTCTTTCACGGATACATGGTTTTGCCTCATCGCATGCCGCATGGCGACATAGCTGGTGACGTCGTCGCCTGCGCGGTGCGTCGTTTTCCTGTCCTTGCTGCCTCCTCGTCGTTTCGCCACCTCACATCCTCTACAGCCTCTCGCGTCCCCGCCGAACTCGCCTCCCCCCTGCTTTGTGTCGTGGCCGTGCGACGCCTCGCCTTCTCGTCGGCGCATTGCCGCCAGATTGCCGCCACATCGCCGCCTCTTCATCGCCGCCACATTGTTGACTCTACATAACGCGTCTCATGATCCGCATTTAGCGAATTGCTTGCTGGCCTAACGCCTTAGCTTTTCTAAAATCGCCTGACCAGCCGGCGAGCAATCTAAAGTAGCGCTTTCTTTGTTTTAGCGTATGTTCGCCTCGTTGACGCCTTCTAGTCGCCTCGCCGTTGCCTCGTCGTCGCGTCGTTTCACCGCCCAGTGCTCGCCCTGCCTTCCAGACCCCCCTGCGCATCGCCCTCGTGCTCATGCGGGGCTCGGTTTCGCGCCGTCGTCCCCCCTAGTTTGCCCTTGATACCCCGCCTGCACGGCCGTGTCCCGCTGCCTCCACTTTCTTCCTCCGCTCAGCCATCTCCTTCCTGCTCGTGCAGGCGAATTCAGAATCCTGTACTCCCATCTTCCCCCCTGCCCCTCCTCCCGCCCATCTGCTGCCTACCGCCCTCTCTTTCTCTCCCCATCCCTTCCCCCTCTCCTTTTGTGCTCCGCAATGTACCAGCTGACTATCCCGCGCTAACGTCAGCAAACCGGTCCCAATCGCCACCACTCCCCAGATCCGCGCAGCAGTTCCCCTCTCCCCCCCGCGCGCGCGCCTCTGGTGGCGGCTCCGCCAGCCTGCTGCTGGCTGGCGCGGCACAGAGAGAGGTTTGGGGAGGTGGCGCTTGGGGATTGCGCGGAGGAGGGCGCGGGGAAGGACGGATGAAAGGGCGGGGGAGAGGGAGGGGACAGAGGAGGGCGGGGAGGTGTACGAGGAGGAGTGGGAGGAGGGAGGATGGCGGCGGGCGGGGGAGGGGGCATGGAGGAGGGGGAAGGGGGAGGAGACGAGGCGGTTGTGGGGTCATGCCCTGCCATGTGCCCTGGTATGCCCATCCATCTCTCCCTCCTCTGCCTCCCTATTTTCTCCCCTTTCCTCCTCTCTCCCCCATGTCCTCCTCTCTACCTCTTGCCCTCCTCTCTTTCCCCTTCCCCCCCTCTCATCCCGCTCTCCCCTCTATCATATCGCCCTCCCCTCTCTCATCCCTTCCTCCCATCTCTCATCCCATCCTCCCTTCTCTCATCATTTCCTCCCCTCTCTCATCCCTTCCTCTCCTCTCTCATCCTGTCCCCCCCCATCCTTCTCTATCCCCCCTGTTCTCCTCTCTCCCCTCATCCTCTTCTCTCCCCCTTTGTCCTCCGCTGTCCCCATGTCCTCCTCTCTCCCCCGAGCCCTCCCTTCTTCCTTCTCTTTCCCTCATGTCCCCCCTCCTTTCCCTTACATCCCCTCTCCTACCCCTCATTCCCTTCCCTTCTCCCCCCGTTTCTCCCCTTTCTTCCCCATTGCGCTCAGTTTCCCCCCTTGCGTGCCGTCATTTTCGCTGCCTCGCCCCTGTCCTACAATCTCCCCCCAGCTCAAACCCATGCACTCAGATTTCCCTCCCGTTTGCACTCATTTCACCCCTTCTCCCCCCCCCTGCTTCCCCTCCTCCCCCCCCCTGCTTCCCCTCATTTCCCCCCCTGCTTCCCCTCATTTCCCCCCCTGCTTCCCCTCATTTCCCCCCCTGCTTCCCCTCATTTCCCCCCCTGCTTCCCCTCATTTCCCCCCAGGTCGCACTTCCCCTCCCCCTAGGTCGCACCTTCCCGTTCCCCCTCACAGAGCACCTTCTCACTCCCTCACAATGCACTACTCCTCCCTTCCGTATGCTTCCATTCCCCTCCAATCCCTTCCCTTATCTTTCCCCTTACCTCTATTCCTTTCCCTTCGATCCCTTCCCTTCCCTTCCTTCCCTTCCCTTCCCTTCCCTTCCCATCCATTCACGTCTCTTCACCTCCCTGCCTCCCTTTTTTTTCTCCCTGCCTTCCCATCTCTCCTCCCTACATCACCAAGTGAGTGTGCTACCTCCACTGGTGTCCTGCTATGTGTAGGACGAAACCGTGCCTTCACATGTTTGGTGGCGCAAGGGTGCAGCAGCAGGCGCAAGAGCACTTAGAGGAGCTGAGGCACTAAGTGGAGTGGTGGCACACTGTTTTGTTCTCTATGTATAGCAGTGATGCAAAAGGAGACCTTCACAGAAAACCGAACATTTAGATATCCCGAACTTGAAAATGAATGTATATTCTGTTGTGAATAACATGACATCCACGTAGGCTCAAATGGAGAGGGTCCACACTATCCTAAGATCGACTATTGGTAGTTGCCATCTTGTTTGCTTCATGCACAATTACCTGCACCACAGAAGGGAGTGGGGGGGTGCGAAGGAGCAGACAGGGGAGCATAAACAGATTGTAAGATAATGAGTGGCGTAGGGACAACGAAGGGGAGAGCAAGAACAAGGGAAAAGAAAGAGTGAGCAGGGGGGAACAAAGGGTAAGCAGCGAAAAAGAAAGAGTGAGCAGCTGGGGAGGCGGAGGGCGCGGCATTGACAGCAGTGACGGGTGGGACGGAGCTTTGAGGGCCAGAAGATTGGTTGCCAGGACTTGCAATTGATGGGGTGGAGGCGGCAAGAAAGGGATGGGGGCCAAGAGAGGAAGGAGAGGCGAGCGAGGGAGGAGGCGTGGAGGGAAGGGAGAGAGTGCAGGAGCGGAGGCAGTGGGAGGACGGAAGGGAGTAGAAGGGAAGGAAGTGCGGCGTCGCAGAGGGGATGGGGAGGCAGATGTGCGTGGGAGGGGGTTCTATCAAGCCATGATGAGTACAGAGAGTGGGGATAGGACACAGAAGCACGACATAACAAGGAGGGTAAACGGGTCTGAGAGAAGAGCGGTGATAGGGCAAGGACACGGGAGTGGGGGCGGGAAGGAGGGAGAGCTGGACAGACACGAGAGAGTGAAAGAATGACGGGGAGAGAGAAATGACGGGGAGGTGAGGAAACAGAGAGAGGAGAGTGATGACAGGGCGCGGTTTTCTTGACAGAGTGGGAGATTTGACAAGTAGGGAGAGAGCACGTGTGGGGCCATTTTGACAGGGAACTCATGTATGGCGTGAGTGGTTGATGGCAGCCGCCCTTCCACCTGCTGCCCCACTCTCTGCTGCTCCTCCCTCTCTTACCCCACCCTCTGCTTCTCCACGTTGCACTTGGAAATATGGGAATGTCGGCAACAACACTTGGCACCTGTTTATCAACGAGCTACCCTTACGCCAGACGTCCATCCATCTGGTGAACCAGGAGGGTGATGGCAGAGGGCAGGACAGGGAGGGGCTTGAAGGGAGAGAGGGAAGGGAGGATCGAGAGAGCAGGGAGTGGAGTGAGAGAAGATTGAGAGAGGGGACAGGGAGGGGAGAGAGGGACGCACGCATGATGGCATGAATGCACTCCCTCTCCCTCTAAAATCTCCCGGACGTGTTTCTTCCGCCTACCGCCCATCATGGCTCCCGCTGCCGTTGCCACTGCAGCGTTGCCTGCTGCAGCGAGACCGCTAGTTACTGGCGCTCCTGCTTACGAGGATTCTCTGCTTCAATATAGCGCAGGCGCTCCGCAGATTCAGCGCAGTTGGTGTAGTCGGGTCAGTCGGCGCCGGGCTGGCGCGGGCGTGGGTGTGCGCTCGTGCGGAGGGGAGGACGGCGGGGGCAGCGGACGTTGAATGCGGGTCCAGCGATCAGATTCTCTATATCGAAGGTGCGCTGAACGAACATGAACGAAACGTTGTGGGGAGGGAGAGGGCGACGGGAGGGGGAAGGCGAGGTCGATGGGAGGGGGAAGGCAGGTCGACGGGGAAGCAGATGGAAGCGGCTCCTTCCGTCCCCCTCGAGCCCCCCCCCCCTCCCCGTCGCTCCTCACTCCAGTCCGCCATGCACGCGAGATTGCTCCTTGCTCCCGTCCGCCCCTTGCGCAAATACGCTGCTACCTCCCATCCACGCCTTGGCCTAAACCGCTGCTCCCTCCCTTCGCCTGTTCCTCCCGCGTAATCGCGGCTCACTCCCGCGGAACGGGGCGAAGCAGGGGAAACGGCGAGCATCGAGCGGAGCTGCACGAGTGGCAACACTGAAAGCGGGGTGCGGAAAGCGGGAGCGAATGCGCCGAGCTGAAAGCGGGGAGCAGGATGCAGCGAGCAAGCCCCTTGCGACGCGCTGGTTGCAACGAGCAACGTCAGTTCTGCGGCGACCGTCGCCGAGTGGGCTGCGACACGCGGCGACTAGCGGCCATTCGAGCTTCGAGCTATGAGCGGAAGGCGACGCGGAAAGGCTACGATTATAAGACTATAAATGGCATCAACACGCCTACGAACGATGACTTGAATTGCTCGCTATCGGCCAGCGACGAACTGCGACATTTGAACCGTGGCAATCTATCCGCCTGTTTTGACAAATAGCGAGATGTTCTAAACTCTTACCGAGTCTAACGCTTCCTAAGGCTAATAAGAGGTCATTGGCGGGCCCTTTGCTTTTGTGGCTGGGTTGTTGTGGAGCGAGTTTTGCAAGTTCCCAAACAAGTTACCTTCGCGCACAACTGACAGGGGGGAACACCTCGTCGCTCTCCGCAGGGGTTGGGGCAAATAATTGTCGCCCTCCACTTCCTGCCACAAACCCAGTAACCACCCAAAGGCAAGTGATAAACCTTTGCCTCCTCCCCCCCAAAGTGCACCCTTGCTTTAATAAAGCTCGTGGATCCGAGGGGCCTTTTTTTGAGTGGATAAATGGGTAATAAACCAATACTCACCATCTGCGGGGTCAATGTGAACGACCTCGGAAGCTGCGGTAAACGAACCAAGAACAGGCGATGGCTGCACACAACAGCACACATCATGGTACTTTCTGACACAAGGATTAAGGAGGACCATAATTTCTGGAGTGAGATAAGACCAAGAGCGTGGGCTGCGGTCGGACCAAGCCAGGCGGCGGGCAGGGTTGCAGTCATGACTTTTGGCAGGCAAATCCGCTTTTCTGATGTCATGCCGGATCCTTCTAGTAGGCTACTAGGGGTGACAGTGGAAGGAGGGGAGGAGACTTTCAGGCTTGTCACGGCCTATCTCCTTGCGCAGGCCTGTAATAGGGCGAAGTTCCAAAGGGAACAGCTGGTGCCGTTTGTACAAGCGCAGCCGCAATCTAAGCATTCAATCCAAGCATCTTGTGATGGTGGGAGATCTGAACATGGTAGCGGACCCTGATCTGGACAAGTCATCAGGAGCAGGGTCGGGGAGGGAAAATCAAAGGTCCTTGACGCCTGGCAGGGGTACGATCTTCGCGACGCTTTCCGGGCCCTGCATCCCACGGAAAAGGAGTATACTTTCAGGGTGAGAGCAACGCAGTCGAGGTCCTGTATCGACACGGCTCTGGTGTCTATGTCGCTGCTCGGTAATCCGGAAGGGGCGCGGCATGTGGAGGTACCAAGAAAGTTGTCGGACCACTGGTTTGCCATTAAGATTCGGCTGAAGTTCGTCTCCGAGCACGCGTATGGTCCGGGGCTGTGGAGGTTCTAGGCAACACGGAGGAAAAAGGAGGGGGTGAGAAAGGTCATTCAATCGATCAAGGAGGCACTCAGCCGGTCAGGACGAGACTCCCTGGAGTGCATGATATCAAGGCTCACGGTGGGTCTGCGTGCGCATGAAAGGGAAGAAAGGAAGAAGGTGATGGCGACACAGCTGCATCTCACGGAGGAGGTGGAGCGAATGCGACATCTGGTCATGGGCGGTCCGACGGATGATAAAACAAAGGCCTTGCTATTAACTAGGGAGGAACAGTTGGAAGCGTACCGTGAGAGCGAGCGGGAGAGACCGGAGGTTTTCGCAGGCCTCACGACGGAGCTTCAAGGGGAGATCCCGTCGCCATACCTCTCGGCGAAAGTCAAAATGATGAAGGAGCATACGTTAATAGAGGAGTTGCAGTTTAAAGGGGAGCGGTGCAGGGGGTCGCAAGCGGTACTTAAGGCAGCATCGGCACACTTTGCAGAAGCCTTTAAGGAAGTCCAGGCGGGGGAGCAGGAAGTTCTGGTTTTACAGTGGACAAAGTCATGCCGGCGGAAGCGGTGATCAGGCTCGGGGCCTTGTGGACGGAGCCAGAAGTTAAAGCGGCACTGGTCGAGTTGCCAAAGGGGAAATTGCCAGGTCAAGATGGCCTCCCAGCAGAGCTCTTCGTGACTCACTGGGACCTGTTGGGGGGAAGTTTCATGAACTTTGTCTGAGTTTTTGAGGCGACGGCCTACAACACAGTGTCGCGGCCCTTCCTCTTCAAAACGCTGGCGAAGCTCGGGCTGCCGGCACAATTCGTCAAATGGCAGAAGGCCTGCATAAGGGGTCTGGGACAAGATTGGCGGTTAACGGTTGGCTAGGAGAGCATGTGGAGATGCAAAGAGGGGTGAGGCAAGGGTGCCCTCTCGCGCCTTACATTTTTCTCTACGCTCTGGAGCCACTCTACGCTGAGGTCAGAAGACGCGACCTAGGGGTCAGAGCTGACGGCGGAGATGCGGTGTCGTATGTGGGTTATGCGGACGACAGCTCTTTGATCCTTCGAGGGGAAGCTCAACTGCACTCAGCGGCGGAGGCGCTTGACTGGTTCGGGGAGTTGTCAGGCTTGCACATTAACCGGGGCAAATCGATCGTCATGCCGTTGGGGAGGAACAAGGGCAGAACATCGTTACATGGCGTTACGTTCAAGTGGGCGGAGGATGGGGTTCCCGAGCGGCTGCTGGGCATCTGGGTGTTCCCTAACGGCGACGCCGCCCCCTCTTGGGAGACGGCATGGGAAAGGGGGAGAAGAGAGCTGGCGAAGTGGGAGAGTCAACACCTGTTGACGGCGGCAAGGGTCACAGCCATCAACAGTTACATTATGCCGATATTCCTGTTCCAGGCGCAGATCTACCCGCCACTGGAGGAAATCTGGGAGAAAATTCGTAAGACATGTGACAACTACGTTTCGAAGGGGGAGGCGACGGCGGAGAAGATTTTCGTCCTCTAGAGCGGAGAGCTGGCCCGGCTGCCAAAGAAAGAAGGGGGGCTGGGGCTTATCGATCCGAAGGACCGGCTGGACAGTCTGGCAATCCGCCAGGTGGGGAAGTTTCTGACGGAGCAAGACGC